AGACTGACTATGGTGGATTGAAAATAATTTGAAATTATAAATCACTGCTAGCACCCTTTTCCAATTCATACATTAATATTTTCTACTGTGGTAACCAAAATCTATTTCTCATGAAGCTAATGAACTTTAAACTTCATGACCACTTACCACAGGTTCTCTTCAAGGCCCTAAATTTAATATAATAGTCATTATGTTTTATTTTTCTTCAAGAGGACCCCCTTGCCAAATCATAAAAGCTTTAGACCCAAATTTCATCTGCTCTTTGTTGTAATACCTTTATAAAAAATAAATAGATAAAAGCTGATAGAAGTTCTCAAGGATACACAAAGCAGACAGCTGAAACAGAGGAAAAGTTTCATATTACTAAATAAATAGTAAATTCCAAAAAGGAAATTAAGAAAGGTTATTCACAAATAGAAGATAAAGAAATAAGGTATAGTAACAGTTAGGAACCTAAGGAATTCATATGTTGAAAACAATTTTTAAATACTCCCATACAGCTAAATATCTAATAAAAGGTTTTAAACCACATCAAAAGAAACCCAAAGTCTTACCAATATGCTTGTTAGTAAGACAAAGAAGTATCTACTAAAATGGTTTCAAACGTAACTTGAAACAATTCTTGAAAAGAAATAAGGCTGAGGGTCACAGAAGAGAAAGAGGTCAAATTTGAACCTGAAGATAAAAAGCCACAACCTCCTGCTGCCTCCTTTGATTATTTCCAAATGGCAATCAGAATCAGCAGCTGTTTTTCTCTTTAACCTTTAAAAAGTCCAGCTGAAATGATTTTGTGATCAAGGAAAGCAAAAAGGCTTAGTTTTGTTTTTTTCAGACAACTAAAATAAGTACGGGGTCATAGGATAAGCACTGGACTGCCAACTGCAAAGCTGGTGGTTCAAACCTACCAAGTACTCTTTGGAAACCCTATACAGGGTTGCTGTGAGTCAGAACCAACTCTAAGGTACTAACAACAATAACATACCAAACTCAAAGAAGCCCTGGTGGCATAATGGTTAAGCGCTTGATTACAAACCAAAAAAGGTCAGCAATTTGAACCCATCAGGAGCTCCACAGGAGAAAAGTGTGTCAGTCTGTTTCAATAAGAATTACAGCCTTGGAAACTTTATGGGACAGTTCTACTCTGTCCTACAGGGTCCATGCCAATGAGTTTCAGTTTTGGTTTTTCCAAGCTAAACAATAATATATACTGCAAGAGATTAAGAGGAGATGGTAGCTGGGAGAAAGAAAAATAATGGTTTTGAAATAACTTCTAACAACAGTAAAGATCAATATAAATGGGCAAGTCCACAAGATTTTTGTTTCATGATCTACTTACTATCATTAATATTTTGTTGTTGCCATCATGTCAATTCTAACTCATAGCGACCCTGAATAGGGTTTCCAAGGAGTGGCTGATACGTTTGAACCACGGACCTTGTGGTTCAAATCAACCTTGCAATATAGTACTTTATCCACAGCATTACACTAGGACTCCACAATGCATGGTGGTGGTGGTGGTGGTGTGCTAGAAGTCGGTTCTGACTCATGGCGACCCTGCATAGGGTTTTCGAGGATGTAAATCTTTACAGGAGCAAAAAGTCTCATCTTTCTCCTGCAGTATTTTCGAACTGTGGCCCTTGATGTTAGCAGCCAACTTTTAACCACAGGACTCTAATGTTTTAGAACAATTTACTACAACATTGTTGTTACTGTTAAATGTCATTGAGTCAGTTCCGACTCACAGAGACACTGTATAGATTTTCCAAGTAACAGCTGATGGCTTTGGACAGCTGATCTTGTGGGCCACAGTCCAGTGTTGATCCTACAGCACCAAACCAGAAGTCCAACATTAGGATTGATCAAAGGTTTCCTTGATATACTTTTTCACAAATTTACTAACAATTATTATATAATTAGTTCATTATTAAAATACTAAAAATGATAACAACTATAATCTCTTTTTATAATTTAAAATTAAAATGATTACATGTGACCAGTACTTCATAGAAGCCTTCAAGGAAATGGTATCATTTCAGCTCTTCCTGTAAAAAGGAAGCTCCAAAGTTCATCATATTTGGGAAAGAGGTGTGTGTGTTAAAGAATGAAAAAATGTGTATAGTTGCAATAGAACCGAGTTACAATTGATATAAAACATATTATATATTTACACTAAAACCACCCAACTTTATGTTTAGTGAAATAAAATGTTTCCGAAATAAAACTTTATTTAATACCATACAATTTTAGACCACAGCTCTATTTTAAAAAATACTAACATTGCTTTTATCCCATTTATGACCTTGGATTTATCCCACCTGAATTGAGAGATCATCTGAAGAACAGATTTGATACATTAAACACTAAAGACCAAAGACCAGAAGAGTTGTGGGATGACATCAAGAACATCATACATGAA